TCGGTACCTACGTCGTCTGGCCCAAGTGGGATGGAGTGAGCGGGTTAGTAACTTAGAAGTAAGTCGTCTGGTGTTTGGAATGTATTGAACAAGAACTTGGTATCTCATCGAATCGAGTTCAATAGGCTCCGTTGGTGAGGACACGTTTTGCGTATGTCCGATGATCGCCTATCGCAACGCGACTTTTTCGCAGTGGCTGTTACAGGTTGGAGAAAGTCACGCGAAGGTCAGCAGGTGACGTGGAGATGAAGCCTGAAGAAATGCACAGAGCGATTATGTAAAGTAGCTGTCTCTCGTCTTCCGGGATGGGGTCCGAAACCGCATGGTTGGAGACACTGAAGGTCATGGCTGCGAACCGACAGCAATGGCGTTCGTGCTGTGACTTATCAGATCAGAATGCTTGAAATTGTATGTATAGACATTTGGACTGTGTACTCTGTGTGTTAACCATAGAGGTTCGCTTTCCTTTCCCGTCCCTAGAATTAAGTCCAATCTCTATCCTCCTTGCACATTCTCACTTACCCTGTATGCAATATGAGTTTGGCAGCAATCCGTGGAGTTTATTTTTTACTGTAATACCCTGTACAATGATGATGACTTGGTCCACTTTTTTATCAGTCTGGAACACCAAGGCTGGATGTGTTTGTAGCTGAATGTTGTCCTTAGTCATCATTGGCTCGCTCGATTCACGGGTCTGCAAGTGGTAAGACAGGTCATTTGTTTGAACAGCGCTCACTGAGCAGGTGTTCGGAGTGAATGCATAATCGAGCATTTACAACTCGGTCACGTGAACGCTACTAGCATGTTTGTCCGTCATTGGGCGTTTTCATCTTCCGTTTGTTTCGTTGACAATGGGCACATTTATACCTCAAGAATCGAAACTAATCGTTTTTAATCTAGCTCTTGCTTTGAATTACCAAGAGTAATTTTGTAGGACGGTAATCTTTCCTCTAAAAATCGATCTGTAAATACGAGTGGTGTAACAAAGTGGTACAGATATACCTGAATGGTTTGTCACACAATCACATTTTTCCTCTTCGCCTAATATTGATGTCAGCATGCAGACGAAAGAAGTTTCGACACATTCTACGAGTCACGGCGCCTATAATGTCTGCCTAACTGCCTACCCACGCGCTTTGTTATTCCCTCTAAACTGCATATCACTATTTGAGCAAAACGGTTGCAATCCCACGTGCATGCTTTAGCTTGTGTGCATTGATGATCTAATTATGGAGTCTGTCGACGCTCCCAACTAACATTCATTTCACTCGTAGCGGTTTGGCTGCTACACACAGTTCGATTAAGAACGCTTCTCTCTGTCTGAACCTCTCAAATGTTTTTTTATTGTGTGGTCTATCATTCGTTTGAATCTTTGCTTCACTCAACATTTAGTTTTATCTACATTTATCCACGGTTAAAGTTTACAGCTTCTGCAGTCGACTTATCTTGTTTCATTTTTTTCGTCAAATGTTTATTTTTTCTGATGAATAACTCAAAACGCAAATTATTTCGGGACAAATTACGATTGGTGCAAACGCTTTTCTATTTAGCCAGTCGATTCTCATTTTAGTAATCTGGGTGATCACTTAGTGAATTCTCAGTTTGGGGTATGGAAGAATGTTGGATAAAATACCACTGCGTACATAGGTAACCCATCTATGCAACTTTTACGGATTTACGTCATCGGAAATAGCAAACTACCTGATACCATAGTTTGAAAAACGTTATTGGTCACACTAAAAACGCGCGACGGTTGTCAAATGGCGTAGGTGACCATCATAACGCTTCAGAGGTCATCCAACTTCCTGACATTTTTGTATACCCCTGCGTACCTTCCATTGATTGCGCCATGAGTGTTCAGTGAAATCATTGTTATTTATATTGACATATCAAATGATTACAAGGTGATGAGGATAACCCTTGACCAATTTGGCATACAAATTCATCAGAAGTGCCCCACAAATCTGTGATATGGGAGGTTCTGAAGGAATCAATGTTCACTTTTGCTTTCAAAAATCGCTCTGGGGGATCTTATCGTATCCTGCCCAGCCTGAAAATTCTGCAGAAATGGGATCACTGTGATCGCATCTGTGAATCCTCACTTGTCCCTTTGGGATCCTAAATATGTATTAATTTTCTTGTTGAACGATCCAGATTGCTAGAAAGCTCGCGAAGTGTTGTGCACTTCTGATATGACCACTGAATCAATGTGTGTGCATACATCAACCCTCTGAATGTTTTGACTGCTTGCGTGTGTCTGTATGCCCATATGGACACAGGATAAAGCAGTACTTCGAAATCAAGACAATAATAATAATAATCAGTAGCACATCGTGTACTCTTTATTGATGTGGAAAGTGTCATTTGTGGATTGGACTCAATGGCACTGATTACAAATTTCATTCCCAGCCGCCGGAAAACGTTTTCAACGGTATATTTATTTTGAACCAATTGTGGTGTAGCTTTTTCCCTCGAAATTATTTTTGTTAAACGGAATCTTTAAGCTGACTGTAGTCCCCCGCATGCCAATGCGGTGCCGTAATCCCATGTATGTTTTCCTGTAGTATTCACGCAACTGATCCCTAAACTGTTCCCATTACTCCAATAGAACAACGACTAGATCCCAATGGTCGACCGTATTTTGTCAACCACATCAGTCGTACCTCACAATGGGAAGATCCGCGATTCCAAGGCTGTTCGTTGCCCCCCGGGTGGGAAATGCGTGTCACTCCGGAGGGTTTTCCCTTCTTCGTCAATCACAACGACAAAATTACCACATTCTTTGATCCACGTCGCGCGGATTCCAAGTATGTTTGGTCTTGGCCCCCGTCTTCTTCATTTGTGCAATGTTTTACTGTAATTAAAAAATTTTCACATCCAGCCGTTTCTGTGGACAGAAATAATGCTTAATGAAAACCAAGCGATACGGCGNNNNGATACGGCGATCGGACATTCGTAGTCCCCTTTGTTTTCGAAAACGATCTCGTGGGAGTACACTGAAAAGAGCCAGAATGATCAAGATCATCCCCCCCCCTATCTGTGTTCTGGGCGTGTATAATTGTATCAAGTCTTTGAGCGCGAAGTTAAAACAAGTTTGTTCGTTATCAGTTTGCAATGCCTTTGCACGATCCCCTGAAGAAACTGCTTCCGTCGGTATTTCTGATGTTAGATTGGATGGGAACTGTACTACTGGGACTGAATGATTCCTTGATGAAATCACTCAGCTCACCCGGGGATTATAACACGTTTCATTATGATCTATATCTCTGTGCTGATATGTCAGTTATCATCCAGTCGGATCCCTTCTGATTCCGTAAAGTACAACGTGGTATGGCAGGAATATGAAAAC